GCTAGCTCTGTGCTCAGGTGCACCAGCTGCTCCGCTGTGTAGTAGTTGAGGTGAAAGTGCTCTGCTCGCTTCCGCGCCAAAAACCCCTCCCACTGGCCCAAGAAGTGCTCCATCTGCCGGCACAGCGCCTCCAGCAGAGGGACCAGGGGCGCGTGCCCCTGCAGCGGCTCCAGCAGTGGCAGCCCAAAGTTCATCTGCACGGGCTTGGCCAGCCCTGGGCAGCAGTGCACCTCAACCTTCCAGGCCCGGAACAGGAAGCTTCCAGCAGAATACAGGTTCAGGAAGGCCTGCAGGAGCCTCTGCACGTTGCAGAACACCTGTCGCCAAGGGAAGCAAGAGGCGGGTCTCACTGGCTGACCCCAGAGAGAAGGTGGAAGCAGACTCAGAGCCTGAAGGGCGGGGTTGAGAGCAGAGCCTGCCTTCCTTTGTGACAGAACCTCTTCCTCAGGAAGGCCTGGCATTGCCACGATTGAGGGAATCGTGTAAAAACAGTGCAAATGGCCCAGCCTGTGTGGCTCAGTAGTTGAGCATCAACGTATGACCCAGGAGGTCACGGTTCGATTCCCGGTCAGGAAACATGCCCGGTTGAAGGCTCAATCCCCAGTGGGAGGCATGCAGGAGGCAGCCGATCCATGATTCTCTCTCATCATTGATGTTTCTATCTCTATTCCCTCTCCTTTCCTCTCTGAAATCAATAAAAATATATTTTAAAAAATTATTTTAAAAAGTACGAATAATCTTTAAAGAAAAATCTTCTAACAAAATGGAGTGGCTGTTCCAATATGCTTCCTTCCTATGGTGGGTCACCTCCAATGCCAGTGCAGGCTGCCCACCTGCATCTTTACCTAATTTTGGATTTTTGCTGGTTGGTATAGTAGGGAGGCAATTTAAGTTTCTTTCTAAGGACTGTGCCTGGGCCATCTCCTCTCAGAGCAGCAGATTCAGGGACAATGGTCTCTACGGAGATTAAGCGGGAACCGCTAAACAAAGGGCCTGTCACACCTGAGACGCCCCATCAGGCCCTCAGTTTGGGTGACAGCCACCCTGCAGACCCATGGGTTCCAGAGCAGAGCCATTTCTAGCGATCAAACCCAAACTGTCCGGGGCCACTGGGAAGGGTGTCCCCAGCCCCGACTGAGACACCCACAGCTTGCCCGGAAGCAGACCCCACCTCGGAGAACACCTGCGCCTCGGCACTGTGGTGGTCTTTCTTGCCAGACATGAGCATCAACTTGTTCAGAAGCTCCTTCAGCTCCTCCAGGGAGCATCTGCGCTGCTCCTGGCTATCCGCACTGCTCTCAGGGAGGAGCAAATAAAGAGCAGTGTCTGGGGAGATCTGTGGAACAGGACACATTTGGTGGTAATTTTCTGGAGGGAGAACCTCACCCCCATGCCAGGGCATGAATGTGTCAAGGAAATGGGCATGTCCAGGGTGTGGGTGTGTCTAGGCTGTGGGCATGCCCAGGAACGGGCGTGTCCTGGAATGGGTGTACCCAGGGGTGTGGGCGTGTCTGGGAAGTGGGCATGCCGGGAGTTGGGGGCTCACCTGCTGGAGCTCAGTGGGCACCTGGATCACATAGATGCCCCTGCTGTTGATGGCTCTGGCCAGTGATAGCGACGAGTGCTCTACTGAGCCGTGGCTCTCCTTCACCTTCTTCAGCCACCCCAAGTCCCTGGCAGAGTCTCGCTGTTGGGACAGGAGAGAAAACAGCCATCCATTGATCCATCCTGTTCTTTCTCTCTTCCTGTGGGCATGGCCCTTCCACCTCAAGGGCAAATGCCTTCTCTGGGCAGGTCAGCCCTCAGGGTGGACTTGGGGGGCTTCCTCCTGCACTGCCTAGACTCTGAGTATCGCTGCCTGTCCTGGGACACCTATGAGGTGTCCTTCAATCAGGGGTGGGGAACCATTTTTCTGCCAAGGGCCATTTGGATATTTATAACATCATTCACTTAATATAAGTTTATGTTGCTATGAAAAAAGCTCCCAGATTTATTTAATTTGGAGTCCTACCTGTGGTTAACTTGGCAGGGCCAGACCAAATGATTTCACTGGCATTATATAGCCTGCAGGCTGGATGTTCCCCACCCCTGGTTTAGACAAATACCTAGAGGATCAGTTGCTATCTGCAGTTAGATTTTTACCTCAATGTTATAAATACTTAAGGTCTCAAAGACTATAACAATATTGAGAAGCAATAAGGGTAGATATTATAATGTCCATTATAAAACCGAGGAAAGGACCAATGTGATTTTTTTAGCATCTCATGACTTACAATTGGAACAGGAGCTCATTCTTGCTCCTAGACCACCCCAGTGCTGAAGGTGAAACTCCCTCTGGGGCAGTCACTGAAGGCTGTGCTCACATATACCTACCCAAGCTACATTTTGGTTAATTTGGATAGTTCTTATGGGTGGAAATGAAATGTTTCAAAATACGTTTTTTTGTATTAATATAATAAACTAGAGGCCCAGTGCACAAAATTTGTGCACGGGGCGGGGGGAGGGGAGGATGTCCCTCAGCCCCGTCTACACCCTCTCCAATCTGGGACTCCTTGAGGGATGTCCAACTGCCAGTTTAGGCCCAATCCCACAAGGATATACCTCTTACAATCCGGGACCGCTGGCTCCCAACT